GTGTTACCACTTGCAGAAGGGCAGTCATAGAAAGTTTTATTCCCCCCCCCCCCCAATTTGCTGTTTGGTTGTCATCAGCCCAAATGTGAGACTGATTGCACCACCAGGGAATTGCCAAATGGATGATAGACAACCAGCAAAATAGCTAGTACTGGTTGCTCCTCCCTGTTTGCATAATTCAACATAATTCCTGTGAAGATGGGTTTTGTTGTTGTTGTTGCTTGTTTTTCAGCAGCGCTGTTGCTGATAACATTTGTATCTGAAATCCTAGAAAACCACCAGTATACAAAGAGCAGAAGCGACCATTGATCTAACTCAGTGTAAAGCAGCTGAAAGCCAAGTTCCTGAATTACTGGTTACATTTTGTTGAATCACCTAGACATAACTACCACAAGCCAGTAAAATATAGGGGTCACCTTCTACTGTGATGAGAAGAGAAAGAGAGAGAGACTTTATTTTAGTGTTTCCCTGACAATGTGGTTAGAATAAAAGGAAAGAATGTAAGGTGTTTGTGTGATAGCAAAAACTGCTTAATATTTTGAGCCTACATGTGTTAAAATATATAGTTATGACCTTCACAGCAAGGTCATGCTTTATGCCAGAGTCAATTTGCATGCTTAGCTACAATCTGGCAAACTTTACATACTTTGATAACCTTCTGACTTTTGAGAGAGTAGGCAATATCTTTATAGGCCAATATTTTTTTCTAAATTTTATCCAAAAATAAATGAGGAAAAAAGATAAAAGAAATAAAAGCAAAAACTACTGCTTGTACTAATGAGTCTCCTCACATTAATGCTTGAAAGAGTATCAATATACTCTGTATATAGTGTAGAAGTATAAAATAATGTATAGTAATACTATATAATAGTATTGCATTAATGTGAAGAGACTCACTAGTGCAAGTAGAGGGTTTTATTTTTATTTGTTATTCTTTATTAATTTATTTTTGAAGGAAGGAATTAGCTAGAGGCTGAATGTCAGAATCAACTTTAAGCGTGAATAGTTGTAGTACATAGCTTGGAATGAAGCGTATTAATGGTATTAATGTGAGGAGATCTTAGTAGATCCTGGGAACTTGTTTTTGAGTTTTCCATGCCAACTGGCATTTTGTCACATGTACTCAGAAAATAACCAAAGAACGTGTAGCTCCAGATGTTTTTCCATTGAAACGCTTTTCACCCCTTGCCATTGGCTGTGCTGCGTATGGCTGATGGGAGCTGCCATCCAACAACGTCTGAAGAACCACACATTCCTCTACCCTGACTTACAAGATTCTGCTTTTGCTTCTTTCATATGACTGAATCTGCTTAAAAGTAGTTTTATCTGCTGAGTAAATATCAAGTTTCTCTGGTCTGATTCTTTGTGGTCTGAGCAATGTTTGCTCTTATAAAAAATCAGTGGACTGATTTCTGGCTAGGAAACCTATCTAAAATTAAGTGGCCCTCTCCTATAGATACAGTATTTAAATATTGATTGCCAACTTTTTCAGCCCGCTCCTTAAAAATGAATATCAAGCAATGGGATAATGTCATTAATCAAGGAGGGATTCATTATATAGTAATAGTAAGCCCATATGTTGGGGAAATAGAAAGTAGGGTGTAGCATAATAAAGAAAACAAGACGATTTCACCACAATGAATACCCCACACCTCAGAAATCTTATTCATCTAGCTAATTCAGAAGTGCCTCAAAAGATCAATGGAGGGAGTCAATATGCAAACAGTGTCTGATGCTCATAATTAAGGTATAAAACAAGACTGGGATTCTTCTAAACCTTTCTACTTTGTGACCTTTATTGTGAAGGAGGAATTTTTCTTACTTCCTATTTGGTCTTTGCCTTTCTTCTTTATGGATTGCATTCGATACAGCAAACTCCCTGCTGTGAGCTTCTTTTGTGGAGATGAAACACTTTGAAATGAGCACTGCATTCTATTACAGTTGTTCAGTTTATGTGACGCCTGGTCCTGGTTAGCAGACACCAGAAAAGTTATACTTTTAAGTGACACATCAACAAGTAAAGAAGACACGAACATTGTAGCACCTTAAAGACTTAACTTTCAGATATTGTGCAGAGTGCCCAGGTGCCCCTCTGCACTGTATATAGAACAGACAGAGAATCTCTGTGCAAAAGAATTAATGGACACAAATTAGACAGTAGAAATAGCAACACAGAGAAGCCTATTTCATCTTATTTTAATTTACCTGGACACTCTGTACAAGATCTGAAAGTTGCCATTCTGGAAAAGAGGAATTGCAGGACAAGAATCCAAAGAGAGATTCTTTGTGCAGTTTTATTTTTCTAATTTTTGGAGTAGCTGTAGCCTGAACTGATTATATGCTACCTCTGGAAGTGTTGGTCAATGAACATTCTAGGAAGTGGTACAAAAATAAGTACTCTACCCTTTTATGACACAGTTAATGTGACCAACAATGCCACACTTACCCATAATATCAACTGATTTCACATCCATCTAGCTTATTATTTTCTTAATTTGGCTTGACAGAAGAATGGAGGCAGGTAAATTGGGTTCAGAATTGCACTTGTACAGCTTTAGCTTCTGGAGAGATTGCTGGTTCTCTGTAGGAGACCCTTACATACTGTACCTTTTAACTATCCAAAGCGATTTAATTAAATTTCATTAGAAGCACTAGAGCTGAAACAAACTAATGAAGGTAGCAAGCACATCAGGTGGTACTTCTTTCTGCATTAAATTGGAAATACTCCCTTTGGGATTCAAAAATTAGTTTAAATATTTAACACTAATAGCTTTTGGAATTGTTAATGAAGTCTAATGAATTCGTTACTAACAGTTTACCTGTAAAATGAAAATGTGCTTGTTTTCTTGGAGTGAGGAAGGTTAATGTTAGATTCTTATTAATCAATCACATTAGAAAATATTGGGATGACTAAACACACATGGAAAATCAAACAGTACAACTTGATATTTATACTAGTCTGGCAGTAACATTATCTGTGGTCTGACAAAACATTCTTGCTATTGAGTTGCAGTTCATCACATCATGAAATCAAAGTGCAGATTGGACCAATGAAACTTTCCACAGTTATTACTGTAACTTCTATGCATGATGCAAGATGATAATGATGGAAGCATGATTTATTAAGCAGTTCGAAAATAAGTATACTGAAGGAATATCAGAACAAAATAGAGATAGGCAACTCCATACATTAGATACATTAGATACATCTAGTGGCTTTGTGTAAATTAGAGTTTGGAAAATGCTGTGTTAAAACTCATTGCATTATTTGCTAATGCTAGCATGGAAATACTTTCTGGTTCTTTTTAGTGGCCAATACTATTCTTGTACATTCTCATTATCAAAAAAAGTAATTAGTTATAACTTTTTGCTTCCAATCTGTGCTGTGCCCTATATAAGTACCCTGCACAGTTAGAAAATTCTGATATACCATACAGCAGGGGTCATCAACTCCAGTCTATGGCCCAGTGCCGGCCCATGGGTTAACTAGAACTGGGCTGTGGGGCAGCCAGCCTGGGAAGTGCCCCAATGCACGGCTTTGCTTGCCAACTTGCTTGCTCCCCACCCTCACTCCCCAGGGCGCAGCTGGCTAACAAGCAGCCGCTCTCTCTCCTTTGCCTACCTGTGTCGTCCTTCATCTGCAAGAAGCCAGATGTGGAGCTACTTTGCAACTCTTGCCTCTCGGACCGGGGAGACTGAAAAAATCGAAGCCAAAAGGGGGGGGGGGGGAGAGATGGAGCAACTTTGCAGACAGGCTGGCTGGGCATGCGGTGGAAGCGTTGCCTCTGGGAGGCAAGAGTTGCAAAGTAGCTCCATCTCTCTCCCCCCTTCTGGCTTTGGCTATTGCCTTCTCTCCCGCTGCCCCCCCCCCGCAAGTAGCTCCACGTCCCGGCTTCTTGCAGATGAAGGAGGACACAGGCAGGGTGGGGAGTGAGCAAGCAAGCAAAGAAGCAAAGCTGTGCATCGGGGCATCGCTCCCCCCCACCCCCCGCCCTTGCCTGCCTGTGTTACCATGTATGTTTCTATAGTGCAATTTTTACAAGTGCCAGAGGAAATACCGTATCCTCTCTTGAAAAAGCACCTGAGCTTGACTGATTTGGAGCTACCGGAAGTATGTTTGAATGAGAACAGCCCTTTTCACCTTGATGTTGCTAAATGTTTAAATAATGTGATTAGCTCCAAATGCTGGAAGATTTACAGCCATCTGAAAGTACACTTATGTAACAATCTTGGTGGGGTTTTTTTCTTTTTGTTAAATATTTGTTTGATTGATAGTTCAATAAACTCTTTGTGTGCATGTTCTACATTACTGTCTTATTTGTCTTTGTGAAGGATCTGATTTCCAGGTAACAATCAATCCAGTGTTCTAAAAGAAAGGATAGCTGATAGCAGTGTAATTTTCCCATTCTTTGAGGTCAATCCAGACCCTTAACTAAGAAGTGCTCATATTATGGAAGAGCAGCAGGGCCCATCCTCTGAACTACTATTTTCAGAAGGTCTGGGGGCACAAATGAAATAAAATTGGGGGTAACCGTCTGATGATGGTCTGGTGGATCATGTGCAAGCATAAAGAGGCTGTTAAAAGCAGAATACTCCTCCTCTCCAGCCATTTTCCTCCAGCCTCTCCCCAAAAGGCTTTGCTAAGGGTTGGGAAATTATCCAAGGACAAGAAATATTGTTATTGTTGTTTTAAATGAGTGATAAAAAAATATACGTATCTCAACGTCATTGGAGTCTCAGTGTGAGTGAAAGATCTGCCTAACATATTTTACCAAAGTATGTGTGTACACATGGGTCAAGAGGGATGCCAAAGCCAACATTAATTTTTTGCTAGAAAGGCAATTGTGGGACACTAGTGGCTGTAGACTCATCTTGTAGAGAGAACATACTGAATGATTTCTTTTCAAAGTTGATCTTGGACCACAAAAGATTGCTCTTGTAGCTTATGTCTTGCTCACCATCTTTTCTTTCTTTTTATTGTTATACACTTTCCCCTCCAGGATGGATGGTCACAGTATCACTTTGTAGCCTCATCATCAACAATAGAGAGGGATCGGCAAAGGCCGTACTCTTCATCACGTACGCCTTCTATCTCTCCAGTGCGCATGTCTCCCAACAATCGTTCAGGTAAGACCAGCCTTACATGGCACAATAAGCAGGGAAGGAATCCATCAAAGTCACATGAAGGGCTAGAATGCTATCAAATGCATTATCCATAATTAAGCATGGAATAAATATATTCAGTGTTTACCTGTTTACTCTTTTGTAGACCTGCTGTGGTGATAGCAGAATGATTGGAATAAACACTAAAATAGGCAGCTGATATTTTTATTTTTATTTATCTAAGTGATGTTGACAACCATGGCCTCCCATCCGGGGATGATGAGCAGTGCAATCTGCATTTGTATATATTGCCAATAATAATTCAAAGGCCAGGGTGGGGGGGGTGATACCACTAAAAAAAAATCAGAAACAAATGCAAGCTTTAGGGCCGTCTGGCTTCATCTGGCTAGGTGCCACTTGTGTGGGGATGGTGCAGTAAAAATTCAAGAGATTCAAAAACCATGGCTAGGTATTTATGCCAATTTCCTAAAAAGGGCTGCAAAGTCAAGGCAAGAGTGTTGGTATTAAAATGTCACCTCTGACAACATTGACTGAATTGTCCCGAATCTGTCAGACAGAAGTCTGCCAGCCACTCAGTACATCATGCTGCTCTTTCTTTATAGTTTAGTGTGCAGTCCTTTGCTCATGTACAGCAAATAAGTCCCATTAAGTTCAGTGGGGTTTAATCATGGGTAAGTGAGCCTACTGTTACCATCTTGGTGCTGATGATGTGAGTATCAACAGTATATTAACATCTGAAGGGCCACAGGTTGCTCAGATTTGCTATACAAGAATTGGCACGTTTTATACTCAGCTGTAGTCCATTCCTCTCTCTTTGTGTCAAATCTTGCAACTAGTTTTAAGACAAACCAGAAGGTGAGACAAATCATGTTGATAACCATTCATATCTTAAAAGTACTTTTCCACTTTTAATTCACAGAAGAAACATTTTGGCAAAATATAACTGATAGTACTGTTTGCGGTTGTTGCTTGGGTACAGCTCATAGTTACTGATTTTCATTTTTATAGTGCAAGGTCTTTTGCTCGATAATAATTCACTTCCAGCTGCAGTCATCTAGACTACAGTGCTGACAGTTTTGCCATGAATTCATTCAGAATTACAAAGGCCTTTATCACTAAAGACATTACCAAGGCCACCATAATAATACACTTCTTCCATGCTAGTAGAATCAGTGGAGAGAGAAAATGCTGCAGCCACCCTTTTAATAAAGACTTAACCTTGAAAGTCCTTCCCTTGCTGGCAGATTATCTGCCATACTCTGCTCAAACTTTCTGCTACTGTAAAAAAGATGTTTCTCATCAGGATGCACATCAACAACGTGTTTCCCAATTCCAGGCTGCATTTTTTTGTTCTTTTAAGAATTCCTCTCCCATTCTGTAGTCGAAAGAAACAGAAATATTTTTATCATTTTTAAAAACCTTTTAATCATACATGTTGAAAGGAGAACAGTTTGGCCATTATCAAGCAGTAGGCAGTTTTGGAGGATCTGCACACCATTTTTTTTTGCCCTTTCTAGGGGCCACACAGATCTCAGCAAATGCCAAATAATGCAAACAGGAAATCAGGAACTTGGCACAACACATCAGTAACATCAGCAAACAAAAGAACTAATCTACTAATGAACCAGCTACCTGAAACCTAATCAGTTAATCACCATGCCCATAAAGCAAGGGGCTGCAAGTCTCATAAATTCTCACCATTAGCTATGCTAGGTAGGGATCATGGAAGTTGTAAACCAAAAAGACATCCAAAGTGTTGTTTTGCATATCTATTCAAAAGGAATGGAACATCCCAAGAATGCTGGGTCTTGTTCCTCATGGCATCAGAGGAATTAAATCAATTAAAAACATGGATGTTTTGGCAAGCCTTCCCTCCAGTCAATTCCTGATGCTTTCTTTCCTTCCTTTTCCCATTGTCTGCTCCTATCTTGTGACATGTGTTTTACTATGTAGAA